ATCCCCGAAGCTGCAGCGACGACGCCTCAGTTCGCAGCGCACAGGCAGCAGAGGGGATTCTCCTGCGGCGGCGTGGGCAATTTTCTCTGGCGGCAGCGCGTTTCTTGGTGGAGGCGTGGGGCTGAGGAGAGATGATGGCGATGGCTGATGACGGATTCGCGACGGTGGGCGAGGTGAGGTGCATGGCGCGGCGAATATCTTGGTAGCGGGCGATGGGAGTGAGGGTGACAGTAGCCGGTGGGTGGGAACGGCAACTTCTGCTTCTCTCTAGCGCTCCCCGGCGACATCATTCGCTGCCTAGCTACCCTCAGCCACCTCTTCCGTCCGCCCACTCCTCGCATCCTGCTCCCTATGACCTACCGTCGTTGTAGTTCATGTATCCTTACAGCCGAGCTTATCCATGTGAACTGACGCATTGCTAATGTTCACATGTATTCTGTAATAAAAAAATGGCAGGAACTACGAAGTGGCGTTCAGTTGCAGTGGCAGTCACCTAGCTGATGGTATTGTATCTTCTATAAATTGCCGATTATATTTCAGCCTTTTGCAAATTTGCTTGCCTGACTGACTGCGCCCCTGGTTGAAAATTTTAGGATAGACAAGCAGCTCCAAGGAGAGCACCAACACATTTAACGTGTTAAACAGATTGGTACGTGAATATGTTATACTCCATCCGTCCCATAATATAAGAACATTTTTGACACTACACCAGTGTCAACAACGGTCTTATATTATGGGACAGAGGGAGACAGGGAATAGTAGTTTAATCTTTGAAATTGGGAAGATGCCAAGTGGCAAAATTACATTCTTCAGACGATGAAACTGTTAGTTTAGTTTCGTGTTACTTTTCCTTGATGTTGGAAACAACTATAACATGTGCAGTTCACTGCCTACCTCATTTGGTATCTTCTTTGCATATTTAGGGTGATGATGACTTGTTTTTTAATTTCTTTTCTTTCTAGCAGCCAAATAAATTTGCTCTTTCTTCACTACTCTGCCATCATTCAAAGATTATGTACCACTATATATCCAACCAACGCAAGACAGATGAGCACATAATGAGCAATGAAACTTATGAGAATTCAATGGCAGCAAAAATAAAGAGATAACTAAATACACAGTCATACTACAAAAGAAATCATCTTCTCATTTTTGTTTTCATTGGTACTTTTTTGTAGAACTTCTCATTGCCACCTATACAGAGTGCAAAGATCAACATCATAGTTTACAAAGTCAATCTACTGTATCCAGAAAATCTAATTTACAATTTCGCAGTTTCGCGGTTTTTTCTGTGTCAAGGGAATAAAAGTTCAGAATCCAAATATCTTTTGTTTTCTCACATTCTTGCAAACTGTAAATTCTTCGAGTGAAGTAGTGTTAGCATGTAGAAACATGTTTTCACCGCAATGATTGGGCGATATTAGTGTTGCTACATACTTGTGAATCGATTGAGAAAACCAAAACTTTGACAGCTTCGTCTTGTGCATGTAGTGGACGTGTTGTTAAACCTTTCGAGTGACACAGATGTATCAAACTTTTTATGATTGTTTTCAATCTCATATCTAAAACATGAATGGATGTTGGACTTTCAACTAATTTTAATATGTCCACATTTCTCATATATGTCTAGTGTCCACATTTCACCTTTGACACTACACCGCAACCTGGTCAAATTCTCCCGTTTGTCAACTTAAAAATGCATGTGCTAATTTATAATACAGATTTAGCATTCATGTTTACCTTCCTGTATTGACAGAAATTCTTATCAACCTATCCCAAAAATGGACGAGCGTGACAACTCGCGCATCACGGTCTAGCTTAGATTAGAAGGGAGGAAGCATTAGACACATCTCTTCCTCCTTTATGCCCTTTATTTTGAACAGACATTAATCATATATAGTTTGATCCTATCTATAGCTATAGCTAAGCTCCAGCCTCCATGGTTGGTTGGTGGCTCGGTGGGAGGAAGTTATTGATTAGGTGAGCACACACATTGCCTACCATCCTACCACATCTCTGGTACATGTACAGTTGCTCTTGTCTCAGAGTCTTGCTGCATCTAGTGTGCTACCACCGGCCTTTTTAGTTAAAAAAATACCTTTAAATCAACACATATTCATTATTGGATAACAATTCATATGCACCATGCATCTTTAAAATCCTGTATAAAACTTCTTTAAAGCTGCTGTAATAAGTTCACTGGAGATGTGGTTGGACGACCCGTCTCAGACTGCTAACCTGAAGCACCAATCCTGCAAACAAGGGCACAATTAAGTGCATACGCACTGCACATATATGTATGTATGATAAGTTAACTTGAACTTTGAACTCGGT